CCCCCTCATACGATAACCATTCTTATGTGAAGCCATTTCAATGTTATAGCATGTCGTACCGTGTACATGAGCACTGTGAGTAGTACTGTATGTTTCCCCCTTATACGATAACCATTCTTATGTGAAGCCATTTCAATGTTATGGCATGTCAAATAGTGTTTTCCCACTCATACAAAAACCACTCTACGTATTTACAATAAAACAGAATCAGAACAAGATAGTTAGTTACCTTGTAGTGTTCATCTGGAAGACTTCTCAGTTTTTCAGCAGCCTTCGTAAAAAAGTATAAATGTTCAAGATTACATATCAATTCAATGTGAATTCTTTTCTTAGCTGAGATCTAGTTGAAACCTTCACCAATCATTTCTAAGATATCTGTATTAGACATCATAAGAGGGTAAAGAATCTCACTTGTTCAGATGTCAAGTCCCTTTGTGCTTGCGCAAGCATTTCATATCCCACCATGAACTTCTTGACCTGCAATTAATACAATTACATCATTTTACGACAATATATTACATCCATAGAGGTTTACAGAATAATCAGTTCTAGAAACAATATCCTTTTGCAAGGAGTAAAGAAAATCCTTCTGCACGGAGTAAGGAAAATATCTCAGAAGGGATCACATCTCCAAGTCTTTCTTCTTTGACTCCTGCTTTTGTGGCAGGGAAAGTTTTTCACTAGATATGCTTACACTAGCTGATCGCAGGAGAGATGGGTAGTAATGCGCATGAAGCTGCCAGTGTTGACAGTCTTGATCTTCAGATCCCGTTGGTGCTCCTGCAACAAGAAAGAAATTGATTGAGAAACGTCTGGGCCGATCAAAGTCAGGGAATAACTAATTCACAGAACGAATTGAAATTTAGGATTTTAGGATTCGTGGAAGAAAGAAAGCCAAAGAACCCGGAGAAAAACCCTAAAATCAAGGGAAATTAATGTGGAGATATCAGAAATCAAACCTGAGACCCCAGAGGTGAGAGGTGAGTGATTACTACCCCTATGAGATACATTCATCATTAAACTGGACTGTGACTTACCATGCCAGCCCATAGAGTATGGAAATGATGTTTCATATAAGTTGTCGTATTTAATGAGTAACTTCTTCATTATTTCTGCCAGACCTTCAATGGAACAAACAATAATTGAGGTTTTACTATACTAATCTGATAAAACATTATCAGCTATTAAATATTAAAAAAAATAGAGAGAGGATTGATGGTTTTCTCACTGTGTTGTTCTTGGTCAGTGAGGTCTGATATTCTAAGCACATGACGGCGTGGAAGCAACAAGACTTCATATGGCCACACTGCCCTAAAAGAGAATTGACAAAATATGATCGTCATCATAACCATTGGTGGTTGTGATCATAATAATGATGATGATGACAATAGTGGATTGATGATTGTGGTGATGGTGGTGATGACTGAAATGATGATGATGGCGATGACAGTGTTGAATGGTGATTGTGGTGATGATGATGTTGATAATGATGACAGAGTTGATGATGATGATAGTTGTGAATGATGGTGATGATGAAGATGTCAATGATGACCGATTTGATAATGATGGTGTTGAATGATTGTGATGGTGGTGATTGTGTCGATGATGATAACAGAGTTGATGATGATGATGATATTGCATGATGGTGATAATAGGGGTGATGGTGAACATGTACAATGGATGATAATTATGAAAGATGATTATGACACCAAGTGAATGACCCCATCTGTCATGCTCATATTATTGACATAAACGTCTGTGACTCATTAATGTCATTATTACCAGTATGGAACGACTACCATCCAAGATTCATTCTCCACCACTATTCTGACCTGTAACATCGCAAAGAAAAAAGAAATTTAAATAAATTAACGCTGCTACAAATCCTTGAATTTGGATTACTGCAATTCAATGCATTCAAAACTACTGAGGATTACCTTTTCTTTGGCTTCTAGTTTGACATATTCCACAAGTAATGGGATGCCATGCTGTTGGAAGTACTCTTTCTGCATCCTGTTCTGTGCACCATTAGTACACCAATAAACTGTTAGTCTAAGAGCTGTGCATTCCGAGATGATTTTGTGAAATAAACAAAGCTTTCAAACTTACCTCTTGAGCTGGTTCATTGGGTAAGAATGAACTTGACCAAATCTAGAAAGAATAAAAAACCTAAATGTAGAGCAATGACCAATGGGATGGAAATTTGAAATGGGGAGTCTTAGAGCAACTTCAAAATAATTTTGGGAAGTACTGATGGTGTCGCAGTATAAGAGTGCTCGCCTCTCATGACTGCAACCTGGTCTGAATTCAGAACTCAGTATCATTTCTGAGTAGAATTTCTTGTTGGTTCTCTTTGGGGTTTTTCTTCAGGGTTTTAGGTTTTTGCCCTCCACAAAAATCAACTTCTAAATTCCAAATGGAATTCAGAATTCAGAATCCTATTTTTAAAAAGTGTAGTATATAGAGGTCGAAGGGAGACTAGACTCTCCAATAGCTATATTGTACATAATCTGTACCATGAAAGAATTTGTCCCTTTTCTTTTGTTTCGTTTCATTCTTTTTCTACAATTCTTTTCTGTATTAATTAAGCTATGTTAATTTTGTTTTTCACAAATTGCTACCGCCTTGAATAGTTTTTTATGCTAACTGCGGTTAAGCAATTTTAATTGTAACATTATTATTGAAATGAGAATAAAGTTGTTGTTGTTGTTGTTGTTGTTGTTGTTGTATTAGTAAAGTTCTTATGAGTTATCGCAGTTAACCAACCTGACAGTGAGGGTGGGGGTTCGAACATCCCATTACTGCACCTTTATTTTCAAAGATCTGAAAAAAAAGTTTTAAAATAGATATTATATTCAATGTTTTAGTGTTTTTCAAAAACAAGAAGACAAAGACAGGGCAGCTATGTTGGGGCTGGTAAACTGCCAACTTAGACACAATGACATAACAGATATGTCTCTACCTGGACCCATCGATACATCTGGCTCAATTCAACAAATTGCTTTATCCATTCTTTAATAACTTCTTTGATTTCATCTATCATCATTAATGGAAGAGTAAGATCTGACCAGGGATGAAAACACATGACGCGACTGTCAATCAAAGAGAAACTATTATCATACATTTTACTATTATCATTTATTTTAATTCATGTGTGAAAATTTAATTCTCTACTTCTTTTGTGTGATACTGTAAAGGCATAAGTGGAGAGGTGCCTATCAAATCCAAAGGAATCCCACATAAATCAATTTAAATTTGGTGGGAACCATGAGTGGGTCATGAGAGCACATGCCTCTCACCAATGACATCCAGGCTCTCTTGAAAAGTGGGTAGGGGGGCTCGACGGACAGTTTTGAAAATGACCCCAAAAGGTACGCGTAAATTAACTGAGATGCTGAATTCAGACCCTAAAAGGTACGACCACATTTAAGATGACAACGTTTCCAACCATTATATTCTTGTATGACGTTTGATGTTTTTCAAAACAAACAAATCTGACCCTAAAAGGTACGGAGTCAGCCGGGAGTGAGCCGGAGACCCTAAAAGGTACATGAGGTCTCATTTTCGACTGTAAAAGGTCCGTCAAGCCACCCTACCCACTTTTCAAGAGAGTCCCTTCCCCCGGAGTTTTCTCACGTGCTTCAAGAGTTTTTCTCTGGGTTCTCTGGTTTTCCTCCCTCCACAAAAATCAACTTTTAAATTCCAATTCAATGATGGAACAAGGGCCACAGCTTTGTTCAGTAGCCACTGGCTATTAAGTGCTACCCTCATTAAACAAGGAAGATTTATTTTTCCACATTACTTTACATACCAAGTCCCTTGAGCTGGTTTGCACTGGAGTAAGTGATGGCTTCCTTTACCTTTAATAAATCATTAGATCTCTTTAGTCTTTAGCATGAATAAATCACTCAATTCCTCACTATGTGTGTGTGTGTGGG